AATATCGTAGAGGAAAAGTATCACTACAGAAATGAACACTTTCGAAATAATGTGGTACTCCACGAGTGTACCAGCAGAAGGCTCAAAATGACAGAAGACAATAGGAAACATAAAAGTGCGTTTAATTTTAGAATTTATTTGTTCGCCATTGACGGCTACAGTCCATGTGCAATTTCTCTGTCATTAGTACAGCCGATTTGCGGTTTGCTAACAGAAATACCTCCACCGGGGCCTTGAAGAAGGACATTTTTACGGACACAACGCAGCAAATTTCTCAGGTCTCTCCCGGTTGTTTGAGCTGGGCAAAATCGCGCTCATACTCAGAGGACGGAACAAATCTCGAAAGATATTCAGAGCGAAAATAAACTACTGAAAACCAAAGATGTCCAGAAGAAAGATGCAAAAGCAATAAGAAATCAACTTCAGTGCAAAAGATGCGTGCCAGTCATTCACCTCCAACGTCCGCGACCGCAGTTACATTACACTCATGCGCAGTATGCAGCAAGTCATTTGTTCATTTGCACGGCCTTAAGATCCACAGGCTGAAACACCACGAAACCAAAGAAGCTCTATTCGAGTTGTGCGGATCACAATTTACCAACAACCAAAATTTGCGGTCACACAAATACAAAATGCACACATCAAACATTTCAATGCCTGTCACGTTACAGTTCGAGGGCAACGTTTGCGGAAAGTAGTTTCTTTTTAAGTCCCTTCGGAAAATTCATATGAGGTCACATTCAGCAACAAAACCCCACAAGTGCGCCACATGCGGAAAAAATATACAAGCACGCCTTCAATTTGAAGAGACACAAAACCAGGCACAGTTTAGAAGTGACACCACCTCCGACTTTGAAAAATGTGTGCCATATATGTGACAAGCAGTTCTTATATCCAGCCGATCTGGCAAAACATTGTCTTGTGCACTATGGAGAACACAAGTTTTTCTGTATTTTTTGCAAGAAATCCTACGTTAACAATTTCAGTTTCAGGCGCCACCTATTTACGAAACATGGTATGCAAGATATCTTTTAAATGATGTTACAATATGCGCTTTCACAAGTTGTAGCATGCACTCAATTACTTCTCAGTAAAAACATTATTCCGTTCCCTTTGGGACCACTTTGTATCCCGCTGTCATGTTGTCGGCAATTTTATCAATCAATATACAGTGTTAAATCTCTTCAAACAGTTGTTTCGC